CTTGTATCTTCCAGGATCATCAAACTCTTCACCTACATCAACACTCAACTTGACATTAAGTTCCATAGGAGTCTCTGCTGGTTTAGCACCTAACAGTCCTGTTTCTTCAAGTAGGTCAAGAACATATTTTCTTTGACATAAGTTAATTCCATGCCTTGACTTTGCAACTTCTATTCCCAGGAAGTACTTCAGCTTACCCAAATCTTTTGTATTGAAGTGCTCCTGTAGGAACTTCTTCAACCTGTCAATCCCATTACTGTCACTCTCAGTTATGACAATATCATCCACATACACCACTAGCAAGATTTTCCCATCTTTTGATTTATGGCTGAACACAAAATGGTCTACCTGACACCGTTTCATCCCAAAGTCTTTCACTACTTCACTGAACCTGCCAAACCATGCGCGTGGTGATTGTTTCAGTCCATAAATTGCCTTTTTGTGTCTACAAACCTTACCATCCTCCCCCTGAGCAACAAGCCCCGGCGGTTGCTCCATATACTCTTCCTCAATGAGATCACCATGTAGGAAAGCATTTTTGATGTCTAGTTGCACAAGAGGCCAATCATACATAGCAGCTAATGAAATCAACACMCGAACTGARSCAATTTTAGCCAYARKAGAAAATGTCTCCATATAGTCCACACCATACAGCTGAGAATAGCCCTTGGCCACTAACCTGGCCTTCAATCGCTCCACACTGCCATCTGGAAGATACTTCACTGTGTAGACCCACTTACACCCAACAACATGCTTACTAGGAGGAAGAGCAGTGAGTTACCACGTGTGATTGTGTTGTAGAGCAGAGAGTTTCTCTTCCATGGCTTGCCGCCAACCTAGGGAGGTAAGGGCTTCCTGGACAGTCTTGGGAATGGAAACAGATGATAGCAATGATATAAAGTTGTGATGAGAAGCAGAAAGGTGAGCAACTGAAATATCGTGTTAAATAAGATGAGAAGTACAAGTGCGTTTACCTTTCCGCAGGGCAATAGGAAGATCAAGGTCCAAGGGAGAAGAAACAATGACAGGATCTGTCGACGAGGGCTGAATGGAGGAGGGGCCGGTGCTCTTCAGTGAGTATACACTTGTCTGATTGGTGGTCTCTCAGTAGTAACTGGCACGGGAGGTGAATCTGCAACTGGAATGGGAACCATGGGAAGGGGATCCGCAACAGGGACGGGGAGAGGAACTACGGGGGAAGGAGAAGAAACCATAGTATCCGAGAAAAAAGGAACCAATTCAAAGAATGTGACATCGGAGCACAGAAATGACTTACGAAAGTTAGGGTTATAGCACTTATACCCTTTCTGAGTCCTTGAGTAGCCAAAGAAGATACACTTAGTAGCTCGTGCATCTAACTTGTCTAAACCAGGCCCCAAGTTTTGAACAAAACAAACACATCCAAAGACTCTTGGGGTGAAAGGAAACGGAGACAAGGTGGGAAACAACATCGAGAAGGGGGATTGACTTCCATGGATGGACATGGGCATCCGATTGATGAGAAAACAGGATGTGAGGATAGCATCACTCCAAAAATGCTTTGGGACGTTCATATTAAGCATCAAAGACCGAGCAGTTTCAAGGAAATGTCGATTTTTCTGTTCAGCTACACCGTTCTATTGTGGGGTGTAGGCACAAGAAGTTTGATGAATTATCCTATGGTGCTCTAAGTATTGCTGAAATGGTATTGAGGTGTACTCTTTGGCATTATCGGAGCGAAGAATTTTAATATGAACACCAAATTGGGTATGTATTTCAGCATAAAATTTTTGAAAAATAGAGAAAAATTCCCTGCGATCTTTCATGAGATAAATCCATGTCATCCTTGAAAAGTCATCAACAAAAATTACAAATACTTATAGCCATTGCATGACATCACTTTGATTGGACCCCAAACATCAGAATGAATTAAAGAAAAAGGACTCAAGACACGACTATCAACTCTTGGACTAAAAGAGACTTTGTGATGTTTCCCAAGCTGATATGACTCACAATTCAAAGATGAAAGATGACTCAAGGAAGGAACCAGCAATTTCAGAGCCTTGAGAGAAGGATGGCCAAGTCTGTAGTGCCATTGAAGAGGAGTAAGAGACGACTGGAAAGCTACTGGAGGGCCACCACCATCAAGGTAATACAATCCACCTGCCTCATGCCCTCCACCAATCTTCATCCCCGTCTTGAGAACTGAAACACACAAGAAGAGGGATAAAAGGTTATGGAACAATTAAGTGAC